TTATATTTCATAAAAAATTAACATACGAAAAATTAATAGTAAAATTAGGTGAATCGCATAGGCTTAAAGTCATTAAAAATTCCTAAACTTATCAGAAAGGTCTTGTTTCGGCAACTTCGCGATCCAACACTGTTGAAGCCCTCAGCTGCTTCTACACCTGAAAATCCCGAGGTTGTTTCCTCGGGGAAAACACTCCGACGCTCAAGTCAGCAATACTCAGTATTCTAGAGAGAGATGCTCTCAAGGAGTGATTGCAGAGAGAGAAGCGTAGAGATTCATTACCTTCATCAGAGGTAGTTAGGGGGTATTTATAGCCCCTTGGTGCTGACATACATCTACACGTGTAAGCAGCCCATTGGCCCACGTGGTGCTGGTCACGTGGGTATGCTTGTACCGATGCTCCTTCAGCTTGGGCTAATAGGTGGTACTATAGGCCCGTTATGCATAGTCCTGTTTGGGCGTTGGGCCTGCTGGGCCTATTCCAACATTACTCCCCCCCAGTGTTCGGTTGACGAACTGGGATGTGTGTAGCCACGGGCCAGCGTTGTTGGGCCTATTCCATTCGAAACGGGTTTAACAGCTTGCAGCTGACCTCGACAAGGGGCGAGCTGAAAGGTAAAACGAAAAGAGGCGAGCTCGCAAGCTTGAAAACGTGTGGGCGAGCTGGTATTCACGGCCACATTAGTGTGGGCCGGTCATGGCGGCGAGCTGAAGTGATTGGCAATAGACGAGCTCGCTCGGGGACATTAGTGTGGGCCGGTCATGGTGCGACCTCACCTTTAAGGCGACCTGAGGTACCCATTGATTTACGTAAAAGTTTGTGACCTGTGTGAGCTGCAATCCATGTATCGACCTGACAAATGTGGCTGCCGCCACAATATGTGACGAGCTGAATCCTGGGGAATTTCAGCTTAAGATCCACACTTTTGAATGAATTGTCACGGGTGGGCCGATCTGGCATAATGTCATGTTTGTAACGACTTGGTAGGTGTGCCCGCAATGGCGAGCTGATGTGACAGTATAGGGTACACCTCAGCAGTGGCGACCTGAGTTCTGGTGGATTTTCGCATCTCTAAGGAGATACGCTTGCGCGACCTGATTCCTGGACGATTTGAATCTTGGGGATTTTTAAATCAACCGAATCTGACCAAATCTCTGAGGAGATACATTTGCTCTTCCGTATCTCTTTATCTTCCTCGCCATAAATGCTGGCGCAGCGTTTGAGGAACGTGACAGCCCGTTATAGAAAAGGCAGTTAAACGCCTATCACGTGTGAGATGCCTATTGGCGCGTCAGAGACACGCGTACTGCGTTTAATACGGTCATTTTGGTTTTGTTTCTTTCGTAACCGTTCCCTTTGCCATTTTCACTCTTGCATTTGCTTGAAATCCTCTGAAATTCTCTGAAGCAAGGCGACTCCGATCTTGAAGAACAGCACACCGAATCGACTTCACATTAGTTTCATGTAAAAATGGTTTCACTACGAGAACTCACAGAGCAACGAGGTAACCAGGGCAGAGAAGGAGAGGAGGAAGGGGTTGTAGCCGTGGAGCCTATCACTATGATAGTGCCACCGGAGTTGCAGGATGTACCGGAAACAGTGGCATCTGAGAGCAGCGCCAGTTCCCACGCCAGAGACGACGGTGACGACCACCCTAGTGCATCGTCAAGCAGCTCGTCTACGGAAGAGACACCCAGCCGTGAAGAGGGGGCGGGGGATTTGGTGAGCAGTGTCTCAGATCGGCCGGTTATTGGGGAATGGGAAGGTGCGACGATCCCGGGCAGGTTGAGTAACCTACGGAAAGCGCCGAAGGACCTGCCCGGTGGATTCAGGTTCAAGGCTGCACTTCATCACGAAGTAGCAGATTGTACGCCCTCCATAAGTGGGTATAAACGGCTGAAGGAGATGGTGAGGGCGTACCACATCCCCAAGACCATATTGCTGCGGACAGGCGAGCAGAACGAAAGAGCGTGTACAGTGTCGCAGACGGGCTGGATACCCGTGTACGTGGACCACTTTGACGCCGGACTGCGATTTCCCCTGCCCGGATTGGTGTTCGACCTGCTGGCGGAGTACGAGCTAGCGCTGACGCAGCTAACGCCCAACAGCATAAGGTTCATCATGGGCTTTATGCTGTTGTGCGCGAGATTGGAG